GTATGAGATCTCAGAAAGTCATGGAAAAGGTCCCGTTGATTGGGCTATAAATATAGGGAATATTATTATCACAATCACCTAGGTGGAAAAAGAGGACATCAATCAAGGAATTGCACAGAATGCAGATATCCATCCAGACAACAAACTTATGATACGGCAGGTTTGCAGGAAGACTTAATTTACGGGATTGTATCAACTGCTGTGGATTGGGTAATAATCAAGCTAGTTACGTCCAGCTCCGATAATAACAGTGAATGAAAAGTTGATGTATTGTTAAGTTCGTTGTCTCCCTCTCCATTACCAATCAACAAGGCTATATTGACCCATGACAACTTGGTAGAACCTATCAAGGACTTGTTCGGGCAAATTAAGTTGGTGTTTAATCGCCAGATAGAATTGCAGGAATCATTGAAGCGGGTAAAAACAGAAAGTAAATAGTCGTATGTATAGACATTAGCATAGAAAAAAAAATCGTCATGTATCACCGGCAAAGTCCCGAACATTTTTATTTATTTTTCGTATGTATCAATAAAAAAATTTTTCTTGAAGACCCAAATTTTTATTTGTAGAATGGATACCAAAGGTATCTTTTCATATCTTTTCATATATTAACGGACTATTGAATATTTTGTATCTAATATAAAAATATCGTCCATCATCTCAAATTAAGGGAATTACTGTAAATGCTGTAACCGGGAAATGGCGACGCGAATTGCACTAACCACGATCGCCAAGAGATATCACGCGCTATAACTGGGACAAGCCACGTCAAAACAATAACCAGCGCATATGAAAGTGTGAAATAATGTGATAAAAATATAACATAATCAAAGAAAGACCGGACTAAGTCACGTGATCCGTCTTTGCTTGTCGAAATCAATGAATGATAATATGTTATGTAATGGTTTCGCTGCGATTCATTATCTTATTTTTCTTTTTTTGTTTATTTCATTTTCTTATTGTCAAATTCTTATGTAATTATTGGACTAATTGTATAAAAGAAACCCATATCATTAATAAAGAAAGACAGTTAGTGAATCTTTTCGGCCATAATCAATTCCGCCTCACACATAACATAAAAACACTTACCATCGTTACGCGAATCCTAGCTTTCATTAGCGACGGACTCGCCGATAACCGTTACAATGCCAAGCTCTTAACTAATATTTGTGAGCTTAGAAAGAAGTTTGCTGAGATCGAAAGTGAGAATGGTGAACTTAAGAA